GTACGGCCTCTCCTTCTGCAATAGGTCTTTTGACAACTTCCCATGGTCATCCCATGTTATTTCGAAACGAATGAGAAAACAGTTCATTGTCCGTCGTTGCTATATAGTAAGGATGGGTAACGTCCCTTATAAGGACCCATTACTAGTTATGCTTTCATATGAAACAGTACGCGAAGCTATCTGGTTTTTGGGAAGTACCAAGCCTAACTGGCCGACTTTTGTTGTCGAAAAGGAATTTGGGAGCTTCTCATCCAGTGGTCGTTACTTGTTATGAAAAAGTGCGGCGCAAAGCGAAAACCCAATCGCGGAAATCCTTGCTCATTGTTTTTCAACAACTTTGGGCGTTGGTTGGAACGGAGGACGTTGCTTTGTTCGGAGCAGTGCGAGTTTGCTGGCACTCTTTCGAATCGGGTGAAAATCGTTATTTATACCAATAAAAGATAAATTCATCGGGCGTTAATCAATCCCGTCTGAGGGATGCGCTCCGGCCTTCGAATTCCATTCATAATCGTAGTGGCATATTGAACGCGTAACTGGCCTATATAATGATTTGCGATGACCAGTCAATTAGCAAGTCAGTGCTTTCAAGCTCCTAGAATAGTGGGGTACCAATTAATCGACCCCGGAGGATGTAAGCCCGGTTGGCTTAGGCGGATATCGACGTGGGATTCGAAACCATTACCCAACGTGTGTGATAGTGCGCCACTCGTCACTACATACACCACCACCTCCTCCCACTTGGACCTATAATCATTCAAATTCACTACGATTTCGAACGAAAGTAAAGTGCGTAACGCGCTCCAAAGGAATAGGAACGATCAATGACGAGTGCCTTTTCATAAGAAGATTCGAGAGATTTCGAAAATTTAGTATGGGCTTCTATGCAGGGAGAGTTGTCTCTTTACTGACAGTTTCCTGTTAAGTCGTGGTGCCTTTGAAAAAGAAAAATTTCAAAATTTTTGTTTCACGGCTGTGAACCAAGAAGTTGGTGGTGAAGAGTTTTGTTAGGATGTATGTATGTATGTATTTACGTAAAATTTACGGTACCGATCGTTGATAATGTAGTGGCCAATACGTAGTGCACAATATGTTGCGTGTGATGAGCAGATGTTCAATTGGGAATGTTTCAGAATGGTGGAAAAACTACCGGACTTCAAGAATAGCCTTGCTCTTCTCGATGTGTTGATTGACAAGAAGGTTAGGTTTTAGCAATTCAGTATTAGTCCAATTTCTCGGCAGTATTTTGCCTTCAACTTAGTTTTCTCGAAAGCAGCTAGGATAGGAGTAGCTTTATGCTGATACATGTACATGGCCTATTCCATCCGGATTAACACCTTGAATTAGTTCGAACTTCTTTACAGGAGAAGGATGAACCATTCGAAACAACATATCTGGTAGCCGAGGAAGTCTATACGAAAGCCACAGTGCGGAAACCGGAGAAGGTTTGCTAGAAATAATGAGTAGAGGCGATTGTTTTCTGGAATCGAGTTATATTGACAACTATCAGGTATCAATTTGGCTGGGTGCTGGTATTATGGTGGAATATGAGCTCGACAAAGCAAAAGAGTTGCTGGTTAAAAACCAAGGAAACGTTCAGAAGGTAATTTTTTCAATTTTTTTTCTGTTTATTTCTTCATCGTATCATTAGGAGGTTCATTCATCTATTAGGAGGTGTCCTGTAACAACAGATGATTTGATCTTCTGCCCATGAACTCACTAAGAGTTTGTTGGAGAGAAGTAGAAAGTACGATAAGTACGATGCTCTCTGCTTATCCCTAGGCGGTATCTTTCCACAAGTAGATCTTGAAAATCCCACCAAATTTAACTATTCTACGTAAAACTCGAGTAATGTCTATGGTTTCTGGAAGTAATGCGGTCGTGGAGAATATTTTCAAGTGACTGATGAGTAGTACATTCCTAATGACAGCCTCGTTAGGCCTCATCTCTAGAAGCACTGGGCACGGTGTAGTCGTACGCATGGCTGTAATAAGTTCTGTTTAGTGCTTGGTACTTGAATAAAATCCAAAG